CTTGACACCTGATGACAACAGTTCAATAAAATGAACTGACTGCCCAAGCAAGACAGAATAAGTTAAGCCCAGTTATGCATCCAACGTTTTGTTTCGGTAAATTATCTGTTCGGAAGGCCTTTAATCCCCTCTGATTTTTTGAAGAGAATCGTCACCTTGAACTTTCGTTATATGAGAAATTTAATGTCTGTTGTTTCCGCATTGTTAAAAATGTCTTTTTGGGTACCGAAAAAAGGTCAGCTATCATTTTCGGAAAGGCGATAAGACCTAAGGTTGTCGGGGAATGGACAAAAAAGCCCCAATAAATTCGAGAATGCTTACGTTCCCCTTGGATAACCGAACAAATCACTTTTTTTTTAGCGCAACCTAGAATTAACCTACAGAGCTTTAAAAGTGCTCCAGATAGCCTAAAACAGCGTTTAAAAGCATTTGAGAGAAAACGGTCGTTGGGTGGCCCTGGTGAATCAGATAATCGGCTAGATTGCGACACAATAACAGTTCTCTATAGAACTCTCTTCTCTGGTTTAGGTTTTGATACGTACGCAAACATGAAAGTTCTCCGATAACAGCATATTTAAGAATTTCAGAGCAACTTACTATTACAGTCTTTGACTCTACTTGTTCCATGGCATTGTGGATCGAGGATTGATGGCAATGCCCTGCGGTTTTTGCAACCTCAAATTCCCCGCCAAAAATAAATTACTCCGACATGAACAATGATCACCGAGACATGAAAACACCAAATGCACGCCTCGTTGTCTTGACAAGAAGACGTCATTTAAGACCTGGTTTTAAGGATTTTAAATCATCTATACTTGCTATATAGCTAGAAAAATATTGCAAGGCAAACTGCGATATCTTGACATCATTGTAACATGAGAATGTGCCTCAAATAAAAACGTAGAATATACTCGAAGTCAGGTTCATCAATCGAAAGCGCAGTGCCCATGTATCCCAATTTCGTTATGCCAAATTTAAGACTAATGATCTATTAATTACCGATTTCAGTCTTGCTTGGCATTCATACATATATGTTACCACAGTAGATTTCTACAAGCGGGTTCCGCCATAATTGTCATAATTATTATGGTACAAACCGGCTTCCCAGGACGCGACGATGTTGGCAGTGTTTCCATACAAAAAAATCTCATAAAATTATAGCCCCCTCTTTTAAGTCAAACAGTGAGCTATTCTGGCGGTTTAGCAAGGAAATTACTGTGATAATGATACAACGAACATATCATTGGCTTCAAGCATGATCGCAAAGGCAAAACCGCTCGTCAAATAAAAACTTATCGGGTCCTGTTTCATGTTACGTTTCCTGGCGTGCGATGATAAGTCGTGTACAAGATTAAAAGACCTCCTGGGCAGAATTTGTTTAGAAGGTAAAGCTCCTCGATAAGTCAGACTACTGAGAGGCTGACACAAAGTTATATATTTCAAACGCCAGATCAGCCTTCTTCAGGTTTAAATGTTAATTATGAAAATGGAATTGCAATATTATATGTCGTAACACATACATATCTCTTACTAACCGAGTTCGAGGGCCGTACTGTAAGTTACGGACCGAGTTTTTTCCCCATCGATTTACGGCCTCGGGCAGCATTTTGAAGACCGGTACCTCGGTCACAGTTTTTCACTATACGGACCTCCCAGCTGGCCAATAACAAATATATCTCTACTGCGTTTCTGACGGGTTCGGGAACGATTTCTCTTCACTCGGAACGGCTTCAAATTTCTGACGCACCTCGAGAGCAAACCGAGTCGATTTGAAATCGTTGTTAAATGACTCGTAAGTCGTTAGCAGGTTTTAACGCACAATTTCATGAAACATTTTGGCAACAAAAACAGCTTTAAATTTTAGCGGACCGTACAGTAGAATACGACCCGCTAAACTAACCAATCATAGCGCGCGTACTAACTGAGAGATACAATAATTCGAAAATAAAAGGAGTGGCAGAAATTACTTGTACAAGATGATATCAAGAAAACAAAACAGTGAAAGATAGGAATATATATAAAATAGAATTAATAAACTAAAAATAAAACCAATTTATGTAGGTTACAAGTATTAGGATTCATCGCGTCTATTCAACACCATCACCAGATTCGTGGCACTGCTCTATGGGCACCAAGATGACTAGATCATTTGCTAAGCCCTTCCTCGGCATTTTGGAAACCAATGCCCTCTCTGATATTCCTTTTCGTCCTCACACTTGGTGGAGATACCTCGACAATAATTTCATGATCTGGAGTAAAGGACTATATAATTCTGTTTTTTATTGGTTGATTATCACAATAATATTCATCCCACTATTAACTTCACAAGAAATCACTCATTAACCAGTGTTCTCATTCTTAAGTCACATCACTTCACATATAACTTGTAACACCCACAATTTAATCTGCATACAGGTTTGACTGTATCGACTGCTGAAGAAGAACATATTGAAAGTCACAAAATTGATGAGCTGAATAAATTTTCTAAGGGTTAAAGGTGTGATTAAAATTTTAAGACGAAAAACGTACAGAAGAACGAAAGAGAATTTAAACGATGCGTTTCGCTTTGCTCCTGCGCACCGAGTAAATAAACCGACAAGTTGTTTTGATGAAATTACTTCAATTATTACCAAAAGGCCAAAAGGTGAAAGATTCATGCAGACTGAAGCGAATTACCGAATTGCGGTGAGCGAGTTTTTGTTGTAGAAGCTGCCGTCGTGTTTTCTAAAACTTTTGAAGGTACTAGTCACGTTGCTTTGGAGAGATAGCTTCGAAAGGAGTTGTAAAGTCTTCCTGATTTTAAACCATGTTTAAATACATTTTATCAGTTTCATTGTTTTAATTCAGCTAACCTCCAAAGAATTAACAATTATTGGACGAGGTTGGGCAAAATGTCGATTGGCGAGCAAATCAATTAATTGATCTGCGAGACACTGACCGAGTTCCATAATTGTTTTATCATTCGATCACCAAGTTTGTTTTCATATTTAAATCACTCTCTGACAGCTTAGGGAAGCGATCCACCATTTTTCACATGAGAGCGTGGTTACAATTACGCATGAGCAAAATATCATTTGTAGCGAAACACATTTGGATGGTACTACGCATGAGCAGACCATTATTTGTAGGCAGTTATTTGCAGGTTACGTGGCGGGCCCATGGCCAATGAAAAGGCAGAAAAGTGCATCGAATAAGTTGCTTCGTGGAAGTTGTTGTAGATGATTGCATGTTTTGAAACTTCTAAATGCATTTCTCACCTTTATCTTGAACAGCAGTCGCTATTTGACACTTGCACAGATTGATTTGCGTATTTTGTTAATGGAGAATTCCTTGTTTTGTTCGTTCAATTGATTCGGTTTGGTTACTGGTAACCCTTTGGGGATGCCTTTTCGGGAAATCTTTATTATGGCTTTCTTTAGCGCACGCGAATCTTTAGACTCAAAACCATAGATGTTCACTTCGCTGAGTTACCCGCCTTCGCATTATCACGAACAACCAAACAAACGGCAATTTATCCTCACCGCATACATTACCATTACCACATCGTGGTAAACTAAGTTATGGGAGGAGTCTTCGACTACTGTGGCAGGTAAGGTACATGCAGCGAGAAGGGAGGGTAGCACCGTCAACCAGTACCAGGGGAGGGGAGTAGGAGCGACAAAAGCTTCCTCCATCGGGACGCCGGCAAAATGACAATGATCGAGGGAAAACACGGGAATTTAAACGAAGAGAACGGAAAGTATCATGGAAACGGAAAGGCAAAATCATGGTGGAATTTGGAGGGATTCAATCAAATTTTGATTATATATGCCGTGAGAATAGCTAAGTTAGCTTTGATGATCGGCGGATAAGAAGCGGTAATTTCTTTGTGATAACGTCTCGGACAAGGGTTACCAATAACTTCAGGAATGTTTTAAACGGTGTCGCATCTCCCTATGTATTCTCTTACTGTTACGTTTTGCACTATTTCTTAACAAAGCCTCGATAATTAAATGATTTTCGACCAACGGATTAAAAACCACTGTTTACCGACAATCCATTTCCAAGTTGATTGGCCCATAGCCACAGTAATTACTATATTTTAAGTGAACATAAGTCTGTACTCTTTTTTATGTAGTGAAATTGAAACTGTTTGTTTTGTTCCCACAGTCGCTTTTATCTTGACATCAAGAAAGGACAGGAAGTAGATAGGATATGCGGCTCAAGGACGGGATTATCAATTCTATCGGATGGTTCGTCCTTGTTGCTGCGTTACCACTCGGATCGTTTTACAAATATGGCACCCGGCTTCCAAGCCCAATATTACATGCTTAACGGCTCATTAACCAAAGGTCAGTCC